TATTCAGTGCTGACCGGCAAATAGTGTTGGCCGATGGATCAATTTTGTGGCCGGTGATCATTTCCCTCGGCCGGTGGCCATTCCCCTCAGCCGGTGGTGTTCCACAGTGTGCAGAGAGCATGTCCTGGGACTTGTACAATTTTCAGAGGAGCAAAGCAGGGAAAACAGAGGCAACTTGTGCATGGTGGCGGATTTTCGAGCAGAATCGAGCACGCATTGCATTGGACCCTCTTCCCGAGGCTGATTTTATTGCTTAATTAGCTTAGTTAATTTGCTTAGCTAGTGAATTGTCTGTAATAATTAATTAGCTTGATAGTTAGTTAATTGTATTATTCTTTTGGTCCCTTCGAGCGAGGGCTAATTTGTAATAAGTGTGGGTCCGTGTGTGCATGTCTTTCAACCTCCACTTCTATCTCCCTTTTACTTACCCGCTTTGATGGTTAGTATTAGGACACGTTTAATTTAGCATACCTTATGCAATGCATGCGTGCATTCATATATTTGTCTTGCATGCACCGGGCTCGGCTCATCATTCTAACTGCATTTGTATTTCAATTCCAAATTGAATACGTGATTAGTTGTAGCATTTCACATGCCATGCTTAGGTTAGCCGAGCCTACTCTAAATACATCCTGTATGTGTTGCATTAGGCACTTAACATGGACTTGGATCATGCATTGATTGCTAACATGTTTCTGTTTTTTTAGCACGGAGTACGATGTAAGTATTTATGCTTTAGCATATCACATGCGTGTGAATGCCATCATGACATCATGCTTACCATGTGGCTAGATGCTTATGTGTTATAAACTGTTTGAATGCATGTGGATGGAGGTTAAATTACCTAAATTGGGATAACGCATTAAAACTGTGAGTTTTAAGCCCACTAGATAGTGGCAAAACCATCTTTTCTAAAAGCCCACTCGAGGGTGGCAAAACCTGCATTTTAGCCTACTTGCGAGTAGCAAATCATTTTCAAAACAAGCATGAAATGTTTTGTTCCAATTTAGGCGATTTGGTCTATACTTGTTTGCTGTGCACACAACATAGTAATTCTAGGCTAATAACCGGAATAAGAACACATAACGTTTTCAAAAGCGGATATCACGGTTAGTAGAGGCCGATCTTCGGATCGGGCGAGAGGGGGTGCTCATAGCTGACCTTCTCCAATCGTACCCAAGCTCCCGAGCCGAGGCAACTTTGGTGATGACGAACACGTGGCCTTTGGCACCGAGTCAGGGTTTCCTAAATTCTCCCAAAATAAAATATTTAGGTGGCGACTCTGTATCTGGCAAAGCAGTCCATGTTTGGCACTTCTTTTAAAAAATATGTTTTCTCAAAATGATTTGCCGGATTTGGACTCTTTGGTTCGGATTAAGAACCGTGACACAAATCGAGTCCGAACTGTAGCATGAGGCCCACGGGCGCGTCTACAGTGTCCTCTGTGAATATCTCCTTCTTGATTCTCCTCGTCTAACCTCCCTTGAAGGCTGGTAAGAATGTTCCTTGGTCCTATCGTGCTGAGGAGTCGTAGGAGTTGTCTTTTGCCCCCCTGCTTGGGCATCTTTCTTGGATGCTGGAATCGGCGTATCTTGTGACGGGAACGGTGGCTAGAGGTCGTCGTCGTTATAATACTTGCTTCGGTCTGATTTCTTCGACACGTCGCCCTCTTGGCCGACGTCCTCTTCTCCGTGATTCTTATCACGAGTTTCTTCGTTGTAGTTGTCTTCTTCGACGCCAAGGTCAATATGTTTCCCACTCTCAGTAGGGGTGTCGTCCTCAACCTTCTCTTTCTGTCCGTCGTTGGCCATCTATTCTCCTTTCGTTCCCACAGACAGCGCCAAATTGTGTGTGTCAATTTCTGATCACACTGCCAACTTAGTACTCAACTGGAGAACACCGGCAGAATAGATTAAACCCGAACGACCTGCAACAGAAAGAATAGTTTCCGGCGGTCGCTCGTCCACCCGGGGGCACTCCGACGATTAAGTCAGTACTCAATATCTCTCAAAGATAACCAATAGTGCTTAACTCACTAGACAGAGTATAAAAAGACATACTTTAGACCCATGGGGGTGTCTTCCTTTTATAGCCAACACAATCCTAGTCCCAATAGAAGTCTAACTTCAATGGACTTAGGATTACTGCTAATCTTGGACTCCTAGTAGGATTAGGATAAACTCTCTAAGAGTCTTATCTTTACCCAAATTGAAGTCTTCTCCCATTCTAGGACTCTTCTCCCTTATCCGCTTATTTCGGATTCTGATATTTTCGGAGAAAACCTTGGTCTTACCGAGATCACCTCGGCGTCATGGTCATGACACGTGACACCTCGACTGACATTTCGGTGACATCTCGACCACGTGTCGTTATTCAAAATTTATGTTCCCACAATTATTTACGTGAGTTTGTATTAATTTTGTATTGTTCCAAATTTTTTAAAATTACTTACACATTTTTATAGTTATATGATCACTCACATATTCGTAATATAATATATTATTTAAATGAGAATATTAACTAATGTTTGCCGAACAGTACTCGTACTGTTCCAAATTTTTTAAGATTACTTACACATTTTTATATGATTATTTATATATTTATAATATAATATGTTATTTAAATGATACTGTCAACTAGTGTTTGCTGAACGGTACTCGTCAACCAATGAAACCCATGTGCATTTGATAATATGTTAGATCCTAGTCTTTTTGGCATTTCTATCACTTACATAAATAAGTCATTTTGGTTTACATTTTTCGATGTAGTTGTTGCGTCAAGCTGGAAATAGCTGTCAAGAGTCTATAGGATATTTTGAGAAGTTGGTAAAAAGTTAATTTTTAATTTTTTATTAAATTTTTTAATTTTTTAAAAAGTGATTTGGAAAGTTAATAAAAAGTTAACTTTTTACTTTTTAGTTTAATATTTATTTATAATGTCAAATCAAATTAAAATGACCAAAATATCCTTACCTAACATAAGAGATTTATTTTTTATTTTTTTTTTATAAACCCTAATTTATAATTTTACGCCTACGTTTTTAGCACTTGTCAAACTAATTTTCTAACGTTGACATTTGTATTTTTAGACATTTCATTCAAAAACGTGAATTTCTACTTTGTTACCAAAATGACACATAATCTATCGATACATGTCAACTTCTACTTTTTTTTTTACTATAGTCCGTGCAATATATTATTCAGCTTCGTTAGTTCTATTTTTTTCAAAAACATTTTTCAAAAAGTTTTTTTTATTTTTTATTTTTTGTGTTTTTTTTGTTTTTATTAAATTTTTTTAATATTTTAATTTTTTTTTTACTTTTTAAACACACCTAACATAAATATACCTAAAAAGTAACAAAAATTATAAATTTTTTTTAAAAATTCACTAAATACCAAAAATATATAAAAAAAATATAATAATTCAGTAATTTTTTGTATTTATTAATTTTTTAAAATATTTTTTCATAAATTTTTTACTTTTTAAATACATCTAAATAAAGTACATTTAAAAAAATATTTAAAATTTTAAAAATATCCACTAAAAGGAAAAAAATAAAAAATAAAAAAACTCAATTTTTTTAAAAAATTCTAACCAAATTCTTATTATAAGTTTTCGTTGCTGTGGGAACTTGTGCAATATTTTATTCTTATTATCAGCTTTTGTTGCTGTTTGAACTTAACGTCATCAAACAAAACGCAGACACAAACCCACATTGTAGTGAGAGAGAAATGGAGCTTCAACATTTTAGCCATGAACATCCGTTGATCCTCGGTGAAGTGAACGACGATGGTGAGGCAATTGTCTGCAACCTGTGTTGGGAAAACATCTCTGGTTCTGCATTCAGTTGCAAAAATTGTTTATTTTTTTTGCACAAATTTTGTGCTGAATTTCCAGAGGAGATGAATCACCCGATCCACGCCCATTCCCTTACGCTCCAACATTCAGGGTCTTCTAGACGTTGTGATGTTTGTGACGACAATATACGCGGATTCACCTATCAATGTTCTCCCTGCGATTTTGACGTGGATATCAGATTGGAATCGGATGCCTGGTAATTACATTGAGATAGGCTAAAGCTAAAGTGAAAGTGGTGGCCTTTACAGCTACACATTGTGGCCTTTACAGATACAAGGTCTAGTGGGGGTATATATTATATGTATACATGGTAGTGGAGATATATTATATGTTAACACACCTATCAATGTTCTCACTGCGATTTTGACGTGGATATCAGATGTACTGTTAGAGGCCAACATTTTAGCAGTAAACATCAGTTGATGATCCTCAATGAAGATGAGAAGAATGATGTTGATGAGAGGCTTTCTTGCGATGTGTGTTTGTAGCAGATCACAGGTTCAACAGCAGCGTACAAATGCACAAATTGCTCTCCCTCTATCTATTTCCACAAATTGTGTGCACAACTACCCGCAGAGATGGAAAACCCAATGCACCCAATTCATCGTATGTGACGGCTGTGATATGGATTTGAAAGAATTCATATATCGTTGTTCCATCTGCAATTTCAACCTCCACATATGTTGTGCTTTGAGGGCACCGAAGCTTAAACATGAAAGTCACAAACACCCATTAAGCCTTGTGTCCAGCTTGGCCTCCTTCCAATGTCATGCTTGTGGCACAAAGCGTGAAGGCATGTCTTATATGTGTGACACGTGCAGTTTCTGGATCCATAAGGACTGTGCTTCATTAACACCCACCTTCAAACACCACACTCACATTCACCCTCTCACCCTCATCTATCCTACTCATGAATATTATTCCCGTTTTAGTCGGTATATGTGCAAAATTTGTGAAAATTTAATAGTGGGAGGAAGGTTTTGGTTATATGTTTGTATAGGATGCCACTATTGCATTCATGTCAAGTGCTCAACAAAGACAAAGTATGCTTTTGCATTTACCCTGATCTCGATTTTTATTTTCCCTTTTGACAAGAAAAAGTTTATTGACCATGCTTTGCTCCTCATTTGATGTGTTTTCTATTGTTATTTTGTGGATTTAGGGAAGTGCAATCGAGGTTGAGAATATTGACGAGGCCAATTTGATTCACTTGCCAATGGCTGATGACTCAATTAGTGCAATTGATCTATTTTTGAAGCAAATCAGCATGGGAGACAACAAGAGAGAAACAGAGCTCAACCATTTTAGTCATCATCATCCATTAATCCTTTCCAATGTGCAAGGAGACAACAATTTGTGCTATGAGAATGAACTACTTATCTTGAATGAGCTGAATAAGGACAAAATATGCAATGCTTGTGTGAGAAAAATTTCGGCTCCATTTTACAGTTTTGGTCTATGTGATTTCTTTCTCCACAAATGGTGTGCCGAGCTACCAAATGAGCTGGAGCATCTGTGTCACCCACACCAGCTCATCCTCCTCAAAAAGCCCCCTGAACCTAGAGGATTGTTCCTTTGCAGCGGCTGTGAATATTATTGCAACGGATTTGCCTTCAGACGTATTGAGGAAGAATGTATGAATTATTTCAACTACTACCTCGATGTTAAGTGTGCTTTCCTACCCAAAGCCATCATTCATAAAGTTCATGAGCATCCCCTCTTCCTAAAGAAAGATTGTGTCACCGGAGGTTGTGCTGCATGTCCTCGAAGGGTTTGGATGTTCGCATTTGGATGTGACATTTGCAATTTCAACTTACACTACACGTGTGCTCTGCTACCAGATACAATTAAGCATAGGTATGATGAACATCATCCCTTCACCCTAATTTACGCACCCATTAAGGATGGACCCGATGAGTATATCTGTGAGTTTTGCGAGGAAGAAATAGACCCCAACTGGTGGTTCTATCACTGCATCGATTGCGATCTGTCTGCTTGTGCCAAATGCATTTGTACGGAGAGAAACGAAGTTCAAAATATCAAGTAGGGAAGCACTTATAACTTTGACAGTCGCCCACACTGTCTCATCTATGTTCCAATGAAAGACAAGAGCTTTAACTGTGCCTACTGTCACGAGCATATCGATTACCTGCCTTTTGAAGAACAACGCATTGCAAGTAAAGTAGGCTTCAAATGTGAGCAGTGTAACATTATGCTCCATCCACATTGTCCTCATCCATAATATCTTAAGCTGTGTTTGTTTCGAAAATTTGATGAGAAAATGAAAAATGAAAGAAAATATAATCTTATTTTTTGTTGAAAAAAAAAAGTGAGGAAAATGTAATTTCACTTTTTCTATTTTGGGTGCACTTTGTGATATTTCTGTTCCGTAATATGTTAATTGGTCCGTAACATGAATGTGATTATGTGTTTAATATGATTTTGTGTGCCATTATGTGAAAATATGTGATTTTGAATTTCTATCTGTTTACCGTAGGAATATCTGTTTGATTATTTGCTTTGAAAATTAATTTGAAGGCCTTATTCGCCACGAAATCCGAAATTGATTGCGCCATTATGATTAGCGTAATTTTTAGAGCCTATAGTAAAATTTAATTGAAAATTGATTTGGATCAAATTAATCAGATTGAATTTGATGAATTAGTGCTCAATTACTTTATATTAAAATAATGTGACCAAAGGAGCTCTTATTAAGGCCGTTACACTCTCGTTTTTGTTTTTTCTTAAGTTTAACTTCTGAAATTATGATCTAGAGAGAGAGAGGGGCCGGATTTAGTGAGAGAAGAGGCTCAAAGTAGAGATTTGCTAAGAAACTTGGTAACCTTGAAGCTACACTCAAGAATTAAGCACAAGTTTGGAAGATTAAAGCTCATAGGTGAGTAATCAACCCTTAATTCATAAGTTCGAATTGTGAGTTTGTGAATTAAAGATTAAATGGTGGGTTAGATCATGAATTGAGTTGTATTTGTTGAATTTAAAGTCAATAGATGCATGCATGTAGGAAATTACTATGAATTTTCATATTTGAGCACAATGTGTATGATCCATGTTGAATTTTTGGTTTAAGTCCATATATTTGATCACCTCTTCACCAATTAAGTTGAGGATATTGTGTATATTTCACATGCAAGTGCAAATCATGGAAGTATGAACCTTAAATGTTTGAATTTAGTGTGTTGGTGATGAGTTTGAGTCAATTTGGGACATGCATGTGTTTGATTCATGAAATTGAGCTTCATTGTGTTGTGATTTGGTGTTTATACCATGTTAGTACATGATTATGTGAAGTTTGAGCCAAAAGCATGCATCTAGAACCATTGAATGTCGAATTGGAGCTCAAGAACATGTTCTGGAAAATCCAAAAAATTTGATGTCCGCTCGAGCGGGGAAACCGCCGCTTGAGCGTGAATTTCATGCTCCCAGTATTTTCTGTAGAGATGGTGTCCGCTCGAGTGGGGAAGTTCACGCTCAAGCGGGGAGCCATGTAGAGAGGCCTTCCGCTCGAGCACTAGAGTTCGCGATCGAGCGTAAATTTGACGTATCTAGTACTTCTGCAGGCCTCAAGGGTCTGTTCGAGTAGGGAAGTCCACGCTCGAGCGGGGACCCTATTTTTTGAAATTTTGAAAAGACATTCTGTGTTTCATTTTCTGTTCTCTTTCATTTCCAAGTACTTTTAGGCATGCATTGAGCATTGTAATTGAGTTAAAGAGATAAGAATGAAGCCTAAAGAGGAAAATGTGAATTTAGAACGGATCGAATTGTTTATGACCCTTTTGTGTTCATGGAATGTGTAGGGTCGAGCTCCAGGGCAAACCAACCAACCGATCACTGTGAGTAATATCTTAACAGAGATATCTGAAATATGTTATTGTCCAATTGCTTACTTCTATGTAAGTTTTATAAGTTCATTGATTCGATTGGTGGGCAATGTTTGCTATACCAAATGAGTGGGCTAGAGGCCAGTCTGATCTGAATAATAGAATGAATAGGCCAGAGGCCGTTTTGACATAGATGAATGGGCTAGAGGCCGTTTTGACATGAATGAATGGGCCAGAGGCCAGTTTGACATGAATGAATGGGCCAGAGGCCATTTTGACATGAATGAATGGACCGAAGGCCAGTTTGACATGAACGAATGGACCAGAGGCCAGTTTGACATGAATGAATGGGCCAAAGGCCAGTTTAACATGAAAGTTTGAATGGGCCAAAGGCCAGTCTGACAAATGAAAAATAAATGGGCCAAAGGCCAGTATGTTGGAAGCACAGTCACTTGACCTAAATTGTGTATATATGTTAAATAGAAATATGAATTGGGCCTAAGGCCGTTTGAAACATGTTGTTCTACATATCGTCTGTATAGCTTCTTTAATTGATATTATTCACTGAGCTATCGCTCACGCTCATTCATGTGTTTGTAGGTGAGCCCAGAGAAGTCCAAACCCAACCCCAATGAAGTTTATGTGGAACAACAAAGGTTTTGGGAGAGTCAGCCCTTGTGTCTCACGCATGAGACCCGTCTTCGCCCTTTTGCTATGTATTTATATTCTGTCATGTTGGCGAAGACTTTGCATCTGTTGTATATAGTCGTGATGGGTTGACTTAGACTTATATGATCCTGTATGTACAGAACCTTATGTAGTACATATTTTGTTGTGAGTTATTAATATGCATATGTATGGTTTGTTATGATGTGCCATGTAAGCACAGCTCTATGGACAAATTTTTTTAAATTGCTTCCATTTGGCCCCCATTAACTCTGTTAAAATACGTTTGATTTGGTTCAAGGCCGTAGGTAATCTCTTGATTACTGGCCGGTTATGTCCTTAACCCACGGGGGCGGGTTCGGGTCATGACAGAGTGGTATCAGAGCACGAGTTAATAACTTACACACTTGTCCGAAAGAGTAATAAGCGTCTAGAAAAGATCTAGGATGCATTCATATGCTAAGTGTGAAATTGAAAACATCAAGAATATGCTTAAGTGTTTTGATTTGAACAATTATGTGCTATAAGTTGTGACTTACTGTAATAACCCTCACCCCTGTTTACCGATAAACTACTGATTTATGCTAAACTGAGACTGATTATGATTGGTAATTGAATTGATTGAAATACTGACTGACTGAAATCTAAAATTGATTAATTGATCGTATCTGTTTAAATGCATTGTCTATCTGTTGACTATTTGATTATCTGTTCATGTTTTTATGTTTAACTGTGAATTGAAGGCCTTATCGGCAGCCGAACCAGAAATTGATTGATGTTTCATGATCGTTAGAATTTATATGATTTTATGGTATATTTATCTGAAATGTGATTTAGTACGATTAAATTAGATTAGAATAAGTTAAATTGCATAGGTTGGACTAATTACCTTAATGCCACTTAAGTGGCCCACTACCTAAACCTTTTTGAACTCACTACATTAGAAACAACACAATTTCATCAGCCATTTCCCTTGTCATTTCCGACTAGAGAGAGAGAGAGAGTAAGAGGAAAAGAGTGATTTAACTTGATTCATCTTGTTTTGCTTGGAAATTGAGAAGATTGGGGGAGCTTGTGATCAATTAAGCTTCTAGACTTGTATTTGAGGACCTAGGTAAGGAATTTATCCTTTTAATTGTGCCTTTAAGTTGATTCTTGCATGGTTCTTGCCAAATTGAAGAGCTAAGTCATGAATTAGTTCTAGCATGTTGAGTTGTAGCTCTAATCTTGCATGCATATGTACATTAAAGGGTTTTGAGGTTGTAAGTTCATCATTCCTCACATGCATGTTCATCTTTTGATCATAAACCATGAATTCACCATGTTTTTGAAGAAATTGGCTCATTAGAGTAAGTGTTGGAAGCTTTGAATTGGTTAAATTCATGCATGTTTGTATGTTCATCTTGTTCATGAAAATTTGGTTTGAAATTGGATTTAATTGACTCACCTTTGGGCCTTGATTTTACAAATTGAGCTTTGAAACATGTTGTACTTTGAGTTTAGATATGTTTTCTCGAAATTGGGCCCAAGAGGTTGAGTTTTGAGTTGCTAAGATTGAGTTTTGAGCTTGGGACTCAAATCTGGATTTTCCAGATTTTGGTCTCCCGCTCGAGCGGGGGAAGTTGCGCTCGAGCGGGGAATTCAAGCTCCCAACACTTTGCACTGTTTTGCAGTCCGCTCGAGCGGGATAATTGGCGCTCGAGCGAGACCTTGTTTCTTACGCTCGAGCGGCTATCGAGCGCCCATCGAGCATGATTTTCACATATCCAGTACTTTTGCCCTTTTTGCAGAACGCTCGAGCGGGAAAGTATACGCTCGAGCGGATACCTTTGTTTGCATTTATGCTCGAGCGGGGAAACCCATGCTCGAGCGGGACCTCTGTTTTCTGAAAATTCTGAAAATGTTTTAAAGTGCTTCTTTGCATCCTCATCCCATTCTAGGCATTTTTAGGCCTAGTTTAAGGCATCTTAATGAGGATATAGATGTAGAACCACACTGAGGCAAATTAGGGATTTAATTATTATTTCCTCAACTGTATAGCTTAGTGTGTGTTCAATCTGTAACTGTGTAGGGTTGGCATCTGGGGACGCTCTCTAGCTAATTGTAGCCCAGAACTCTGTGAGTAACAATTGTGTAAAGATATGTTCAAATGTGACTGTTTAAACTGATACTGTTTACTGATTGAATGTATGTCTTCTATTCTGAACTGTATTGTGACATCCATAACAACTACTGTTACAAAGATCTCTGTCGGTTCCCATGTTGGAACCACTACTGTTTACTGATATGATGGCTATCATTTGCTGTTCGGTCTTTTAAGACCTACTGTTTACTGTACTGCTATGCTAATGAATGTACCACATCTGACTGTTATGACTGAATGACTGAAATACTGATTTAATGAACTGTTTTCATTACTGTAAGGACATTCATTCTTAACCTCTTTACGCATTACGTTATTCACTGGGCTTTAGCTCACTGTTTATATATATGTAGGTGTTCAGGCACCAAACCGGAGCTAGGAGCGTGGGTTAGACTCCCCTTTTTGTCAAGCTAACCACTATGCCTCACTGCGAGGTTCCGAACCTGCCAAGCTATGGCTTAGGGGTGTTTTATTTCCCCCGCCTGTCTCCATATCTGTTTTGTATAATTGTATAGACTGAATGTTTTTGTACTGTACTGTATAATAGGGATTAGGTCCCTGTTCTGATCGATTGTAAATGTTGTACATACTGTTCTGTACTGTTCATGTATATATGTATGAAAAATCTTTTTGCATACAGACTGTCACAGCTCATTGGACATTGTTTATTTACTGTATCGG